AGTGGATTGCATTATTTTATTTATTTATTTTTATTATACTGTTATATAGAATGTAAATCGATATGTAAACCGTGACAACGCATAGCTCTTTGCTTTTTCCTTATAATGTGATTTGTAATTAACTTAATATAAATTTGAGTTGGCTTTAGTACCGCTGATTGTAAATTAAGTTATTATTAGGATATGTGGTAAAATATATATTCTCCTAAAGATATATATTAAATATGCAGAAACTTACTATGTTAACATAATAACATCACCTTACGAAGAGGAGAGTACTGGTGCACTGAGACACAAACTTCCGCTTTGTTCAGACACCAATCTCTTGCAATCTTATGAAACATACAAGTATTGTCTATACTTTAAGCTGTAGCATGTCGATTGTTGGAGAAATAAATAATGTTATCATTATATTCAGCTCTTGGGCTCTTATCTCTTATCTATTAGACAAGTCCGTCCGTCTGTCTGTGGTGCTGTTTCAGCGGCCAAACCGTAAGAGATAGATAAAGAGAATATTTAAGTTATAAGTTAAGAATAGTCTGATAAGACTACAAACCGGATTTGAGTAACGTAGCACTTCCGGTTTTCGAGAAATCACGTGATTTCTATATCTTGGAAACGATAAGAGATAGATAATACATACATTTTTTAAATCAGGTTTTGGTGATCATTTGGTTCACTGGTTTGTTAGTTATTATTCTAATAATTATTACTCCACATATATTTAGCATCATATGGTGTAAATTGCCGCGTCACGTATAAAAGTACTTTGAAGATTATTATTTGATCATTTTCTTTGTCGCATTCTAGCACCTTTAGTTTTATTAATTTTATTTATGATAATTAACCTATTACTCATATGAAACTATTAACTTATAGCTATCAAGATGTAAAGAAGCGTGTGTGTTTTATCCATTGAAAAGCTGTTACCTACTAAAAGAGTATAGGTAAGTATATTTTATTTTTCATCTCACCTTTTTATTGTTGTGCCACCCAATCTAAAGGTAAAAGGCATTGTGATGGGACTCGATTAAATTAAGTTACTACAGCGAAAAAGAGAGCAATTTCGATTCTCATAGAATTCAAATGAGTTTTTTATTCAAAGACGGTTGGAAGAAACAGTGAAACAGGCGATTCCGCTCCATTGCCTTGGGTAAACTCGACGCACGTTTATGTTTTAAATCGCGATTTGGGGGGGAAAGATGAGGACTTTGATGCGTCGCTAATTCAGCGAAAAATAGATCTTCATAAAAAGTAAACGAAGTTGAACACGAACAATTCTTCCTTTTGGCTTTGATTGATTATACAAAGGTGTCGCGTGGGATACATATGACCAGGCGGCATATTCGCTAACTTATTTTACATTTACAGTGTGTAACTAAAGCTAAAATTGCATATGCTTCGATGCTTCTCTGAACAAGTATCTTAGTGGCTTTATATTGAAGCTCGGTGATTATCACTTCCATTTGTTAAAAGCAGTTAATAAAATGACCAGTAGGCATTTTATTAACTGCGACGCTTTAGATAATTAATTGAAATATATTTATATTTTAAGCATGTACCTGATTGATGTTTAAATCTAAAGAAAATATAACTAGAAAAAATTCCACGCGGACCAGGCAGCAGACGGGACTCGAACCCGCACCCTTCGCCATCCGAGCGAATGCACTAACCAATTATGCTACCGCAGCCCTGATGGCCGCGTCGAATTTTCTTCTAACCATTCTTAGCTCGCCATCTCTTCGCATTTGGAATTTGTTCTAGTTATATTTTATTTAGATTTAAACATCAAGCATGCTAAAAAATAAAAATTATACTTAACTATAATTGCTATCTATTCTTTCAAATGTTTAATACTTGTAAAAGTATTCATTTGACATTGTGGGTTACCTACAATGCGAAGAGATGGCGCTGCCTTGCAGCTTATAGTAGCGTAATTGGTCAGTGCATTCGCCCGGATAGCGAAAGGTGCGGGTTCGAGTCCCGTCTGCTGCCTGGTCCACGTGTATTTTTTTCTAGTTATATTTTTATTGAAAGACATGTTAAATGATACATGTAAACAGTGAGCAAACACATAAGAGCCGTGAACTACTTACTTCTGCTTGAATCTAAAGGAAAAAATACTAGAATAAGTTCCACTCGTACCAGGTTTCAGACGGGGCGTACTTACATAATGAAAACCATACGTATATAGCGCCACGCGCAGTGTAGGGTTCCGTAGTTGCCCGTTTTGCTTTTCAATGCAAGATTTTATGGGTTATAAAAAAGTAATTACTTCATCTGTCACTTTTAATTTTTTCTTCTAAGGAAATTTTATTAGGTAAGAAATTTCCTAATACATAAGTTGAACGACTAATACTTCTAAACTAACTGATCTAACTTAACCGTCATATATTCCTTTAAAGTTCATAAAAGCACTATTATCATGAGTTTTCCAGATTTTTCAAGCCAATAGTTTAGCTTTTGAGAGGGGGGGACCCCTACTCGAACAAAAATTAGCACTGTAAAGTTTAATATTTCGCAAACGAATCCCTAAATCGAAAAATAGTCTTAGCAACCCCTTAGTCATTTTAAAGGACCTATTCAACGATAACCAAAGCGATGGGGTAAACGGTGATTAAAATTCATCCCCACGTTACATGTATATACAAATATATATGGATATACAAACAAATATTTTTCAAAAAACTTTGTTGGCGTGATTGATATAGGTAGATAGCTCCACAAAATTGTAGCTTTACAGTGCCAACAGTCTCACTCAAAAACTCGGACTGATAGACAGACAGACGGACATGATGAAATGAGAACGAAACGAAAAAATCGAATAAAGATATAGCCTTGTCAGAACTACGGAACACTACAAAAGACAAATTTTGTAAAATTCATAAAAATATTGTTCACACCAGTCTTGATATTATTTACAAATATCTGACGAGGTGCGTATCAGTCGCGTTGCGTGTCTGATGAAGTACGTTTTTGACAAATTGCTTGTCTGTCGAACTGCGTATTTGACTTGTTAAGTTTCTGTTTTGTAGCCTGACGAAATGCATATATGACCACTTTCGGATCTGACGCACCTGCGTATCTGACGACTTGCATGTTATTATAATTTAACTGGCAATAATGAAGTTAATAAAAGTGTTTCTACAGAAAAAGAGAAGCTAAGCGATGTTCTCTAGTGACAGGCAAAACTAGTATTCTCCTTTTTGCAGAGGTTTTAACCGATCATTTAAACTTTTCCAGTGGAAAGCAGAGTACATTCAGGCAATTTGATTTCTGACTCACCTTAAGCTCATTTTGTTAAAACTATTTCAAAAGAATGGGGTGGATTTTTGCATAAATGTATGTATCCCTGGAAACAAACTTGTTGTGTTCTGAACAATCATATTTGACGTGACAGATTTTGCCGCCTTCCTGTGACATAATTTTGACCATAAATTATTTGCAGGTTTACCCATGTACTTAGGATTCTCCAATTTATTACTTTACCATCGTCAAGAAATCGAAAAAGTTTTGTGTTATATTTACGGATTTAAAAGTGATTTCGGAATTCAAACTACTATTCCAATTTTATTTATAAAATGATCTATATATAAATAAATAAAGGTCAAAATTCAAATATCTTTGATCTTTCATAACACACTGACCTTTTTTAAGGAATTGTCTAAGAGACTCACCGAGGTGACTGGTGATCAAAAGGCCAGCTGCAGCTACCATGGTCAACGGATTAGCCTTGCAATTGAGTCGTATAGTATCAAAGGCGGCAAAGTAGGCAACCAAATATTTGGCAAATCAAAAAAAACTGTTTAGTCTCGTCTTTAAGGGAGGATAAAATATTGACATTTCACTACGATTTGTAGTTATGATGAATGTCAATTATAAAAATCCTCCCTCAAAGACGAGACTAAACAGTTTTTTTTGATTTGCCAAATATTTAGTTCGCCCTACTTGGCCGCCTTTGATACTATACGACTCAATTATCCAACGAGAAAATGCAGCCAGCCTATTGGGCGGACACCACTCTTGACTCTTGATGCGCTGGGGGTGATATTTTTTTATTTTGTGAATTGTATTTATTATAGTTGATAAGTTTTAATATAATTCTGATTTTATGTTTTTAGACATTAAGTAATCTTAAGCTTTGGAATTTAAATATTTCTATGTACATTATAAATTATAATCGTAATTAAAGCAGTAAAAAAGATAATTATAAAAGCGATTGTGATACTACATCTAATGTTATACTTATCTTTGTTTTAGAATCTGAAATGGTAAATAAAATTTACGCATAATTTACTTTGTCAAATAATGTTTTATTTCTATGAGATCTTACAAGAAGCCAGGCGATATAAGTACATTTCATTTTAATGAAATATTTAGTTTTACATTGGTAGCAAGGAAGTACACCTAATCACTAAGGTAATATTCATTATTAAAGCCATAGATGCCTTAGAGCATAAGTACATATTAGAAGAAGTACAGTCATAAATTATATTTTTCTAAGTCTATACATACTTGATAGGTATTTTAATTTTGATATGACTTTTTAATATATTTAACAATTTCAATTTTCAACATTTTTGATATGATTTATGTTTGGAATTTTCAACCGTACTCAATGTCACAGTAAACGAGAAATTAAATTTTACTTTAAAACTGGCTGGCTATGTACCATTTAATTGTAATATTAACAAAGATACAAAACTCTTAGAACTAAACATTGTACATTTATTATATCTGTCTATAATTATACAATATTCTACCTTATTGATTACAGATTATTTATTGACAGCGTAGCCGATGTTTTGGCAAAACAATCTATCCGAAAATATGTATGTATGTACGTCCTACCTTATTTTTGACTCATATAAAATATCTTCAATATTCAACTCAAATTATTCATCTATCACAATAATTTCTAATAAGAGCTACTCTTTCATAGTTTGTTTTCATAGCAATAGTAGAATTACATTCATACTTACATGTTTAATAGTTTAGTACCGTTGCCAAGCGAAACTATTAATAGTTATATACAAATTTATATACAATCAACTTATGTTAAACTATTACATCACTCTTAAAATTTCTACATTGAAACTAAATAATGAATGCCTACCGATAGTTCAAGCAATGGTTCTTCAATATTGTGTCCAGCTTTTGGCTGAAAGAAATAGTTTAATAGTTATTAATAAAATAGTGATATTTACTACTAGCAAATTGTGTAACAGAAAACAAGCCTAGATTAAAACAAAAAGGGAAGATACGGTATACACATACTAGCATCAAATAAAATATGATCCGACTCAACTACACAAGCAACTCTCACACACGCACACGCCTGTAAATAACATTCAATCAAGCGAACGCTTCAACACAGAGAGAGCGAAACGGCGAATCTACTTCCGAGTGTGAACGCCTGAGCTGTATTGTTGTCCTTTTCTTGATAACAAAATGTCGATTACGTAAATAACATTCACGACAACCCGTGTTTTTTGGATTTTTTTTTTTACAGTTTTACGAATGAGATGTGTTGCCGAGGCATTTGATTTCGAACTATGTATTTGTGTTCTTTATAAAAGCATCGAAGGCATTGTTTTATCTTTATAACAAAGATTAATTAAGCAATACTGTTATGTTGAGTGCACATGTAGCGTGTTTGAATGTCCAATTGTGACTACAGCAAATTGTGATAGTGCACCACAATTTAAGCGGATCACTTTTGAGCCGCGAGTGACGTACGAGTATATTCCCTTTTTGTTTTAATCTAAGAAAACAAGGATATAAATTTTCAATAAGCTGTTTCAATTGGATTCGAAGAAATAAATAATAGGTTGTCTACTATCGTCTAGATTATTTTTTTATTGATAAACAATATTTGTCTTTGGATTATTAATGCATATTATCTATAGTGAATATTAGGAACAAATAATAACAACATACCTTTGTAGTGCATGTCGCGCTGCATGCTCGGGCAAGTCTTCCCGGGGTACTGAAAGTTACGTTTTCGTGAATAATGAATTCTCTGTGATTTTCTATTGGAATTGCAACTTTATGGGAAGTCAAATTTAGGTTCACGTTACCTTGCTCAGGTCAAAGTCGATGTTGGTTCTGACAGCGCGATGGTGGAGTGGTTGCGGCGGTCTAAAGTTGTTGCCGAGAGGGGCCTTTGGGTGCCTAGCATCGCCCTGCATCAATCGGCGCAGTCCGTGAAGCTAGGGAATTATCAAAAGGCATTGTCATTCACTTATTTCATGTGAGTTATAGTTAATTACATTGTCACTATCATCATCATCATCAGTCTATTAATGCCCCCACTGCTGGGGCACAGGCTTTCCCTATGGATGGAATAGGGAGATTGGGCCATGAATCACCACGCGGGCCCAGTGCAGATTGGCGGGTACTAACGACTGCAGATGCAGCCAGGACCAACGGCTTAACGTGCCTTCCGAAGCACGGAGGAACTCGAGATGGACGATTTTTGGTCACCAATCCAATGACCGACCTCTGCGAAAATTGCTTAACTTCGACGATCGCAGCCAAACGCGCTAACCACCCGCGCCATTTATCTCCTCATTTTAGTTAATTACATTCCATTTTATCGAAATATTTAATTTTACATTGGTAGCAAGGAAGTACAACTAATCACTAAGGTGATATTCTTTATTAAAACCATAGATGCCTTAGAGCATAAGTACATATTAGAAGAAGTACAGTCCTAAATTATGTTCTTAAAAATCTATTCATATTAATTTAAACAAACACCTCAGCTTTTTCTTCACCTAGTAATTCAACTAGAAGAATTCCATCGAACGCATATCCTATGTCTCAATCCAGGTCATAAACTATATGCGATTGGTACGCAGGACATGGTAAAATTTTGTATGAGCGACTGCCCTAGCAATATATAAATATGTAATTAGTAATATATAATGCAGAATGGCTGAATATTTATAATTTCTATGAAAAAAGAACTTTTGATAAAGTCACAATCTTGAAAATTATGAGATCTCCTACGATGTCATTACCTTGCTACATTTGATAAAAGATGTTGCCAATTATTTACAGAGCTATCAATTTCGCATTTTATTAGAATATTTCTTCACATTTATCTGATTAACACTTCACAAAAAGTATTTTTTAAAGTAAAAATTAATACAAATTATTTGTAGTTTTCGGCTTGACATGAAATCTGTGAAATTTTATTTTGTTCATTTGCAAAAATCAAAGCTTAAATGATTATACAGTCTTCTCTCAAGCCTGATCAGAAAAATAAAATCTATTATTTTAGGCTTTCAGTGATTTGTTATAATAAAAATAAGGGCCAAATATCGTCATAGTTTTTGGGAGTTTTGAATTATTATTGTTTATTTCGATATACTGACAGAAATATTTTTTTGTATACATTTATTGTTCATTTATTTTAGTAAAACGGAACATTTTCCTTTTGAAACAGACATGAAGTCAATTTTTATACTTTTAAATATTTGATTATTTCACGAAAGTTGTATGAGATTTATAAACACGTAATAATTAATAAAAAAATATTATAAAATTATGGGCTAGTGCAAAATAATTATACACGTTAAGGGCAGTTTTTTAGCCATGTCCTTTCATCCGAATCCGTTGTGTAGTTTTTGCGTTACTGAGTAACAAACAGACAAACATACAAAACTTTTATATTAATAATATTAGTATGATTTATCATACAAAGAACTGCATACATACCATCAAATAAATTCATAAATATGTAATTTTTGGCAATTTCATTGTTTATACACAATACAGTACAGTACATACATGTACCATAATTGTTTTCTCTTACTTCCAGTATTGCTATTACTTTTAAGACAAGACCAAAATAATAATTCTGTATACTTATCCCTTCAAGACCAATTTGAAGCAGACACATTTCTACGTTACTCTTTTAATCTCCTAAAACAGCGGCCCCAAGGGCGGCCGCATAATTCATGAAATAAACATTATAGTATCCGAATTATGGAATTAATCCTATTATGCAATTAAGTTGGGCGGGTTACAATTTCGCTATTTTTAGCGGTTGCAAAATCCACCCGCTACCTATAGCGGTTCCAAGTAAATTGAAATTTCTTCGTCTATATGTCGACTGTGTGTTGTGGTGAGCAGGGGATTAACGGGCCGGTCTCACGCAAACGCTATCTCATCCCCATCGCTGTTTACGCTGTATTAAACAATTTGATTCTGATTATAGACTCCACCTAAACTTTGATTTTCCTTTTGTGGAACAGCAATTTACTCTTTTTACGGTCGTTGGTCGACGTTAATGTGTTTGCCTTTGTAATGAAGGAAATAATGTGTGATGTTAACGCAGAATTAAATACTTTTAAGCAATACGTTTCTCTACATGATAAAACTTTAAACAAAAGTTAACCGTGCTAAAGCTCTTTAACAATCTAATGCAAAGATAATGAATCCTTCACTGCAAACGTGCTCATTTACCGTAACTTGCATTGCAACACGGTGTAAAAACGAACCAGGGCGTGCATTTCAACATTAACCGCATAGGGTAAAGTTTGAAACAACCTGACCTGACGCAAACGTACATTAGATTGCGTTGAAGCGACCACACGGCGTTCGTTCAAGTCCCCGCGAGATTGCAAGCAGTTTCCACTAGCACTTAATTTTCTCACCAACAAACGGAAAACATAAACAATGATTTATAATAACAGCCACACAACGCGGCACTTTCAGTTTACTTTTAACACGTACATAATTCACGGTGGAGTCTTTGTCTAAGGCGAGGGACGTGAGTTGTTTATTTACTCAGGCACAAATGAAAATGTTATTACACGGCCTCAACCTCGCCTCGTGGATCTAAATAGTGTCTGGAAATGGCCAGTCCATAGCCAAATGATTTTATTTTTATACTAAACCTCTCTTCTATCTTAAATTTTATATTAAAAATATAAATTGTAGTATTTATCGTCTTTGTGTTGTAAGATTCTAAGGAAAATGTAAGGAACAATATTTGTGACCTCCATCGTCTTTATGTCTGCTGCAAATCCATCAAGCGAGCTTAGTATGCAAACAGGGTGAACTTGATACTTGGCGAATGCAGCCCAACTGCTGCTATTGATTGCAAGAAACTTCGTAGATTCTTGACTTTGACTTCAGAGTTGTTGAACAATTCGTTTGTATATCGCGTTGCGTGAGTTTGAATAATAACTAATTTCAACATGTGCTTGCTTATCGCTCGCTGAATTGTTTCCCGAACTTTAGGTGTTTAGTTTGCAATGTTACACATAAATTGCTCAATTTAAAATGGAAATCTTAAAAACACCTGTGTAAATGTAAATATTTACATTGCGAGATTTTTTTATAATTATTCTAGTTTTTTTTAACAAGTAGCTTTACTTAAAATAGTAATGTAAGAAAATGTAAGAAGATTTGATAAGGCCAATATTTTTAAATCTTCTTTCAATAATATTTAATCTAATAATGCAATCACTCACAGGGAATAAATATACTAATGCCAATTTGCACAGAGTACGCACAACTTTAGACCAATCGTGTAACGACAAAGTTTCTGTATTTAATATTCTAGCTTCATCAAACAAAAAGCATTGATCACCGATATTAGATCATTGCCAATACTGTTCAATATTAAAAATCAGTCGCAGAATTTACTCCAATTCGTATTCTCATCATTAATAAGCTTTATGCAATGTCCTATAAATATTATAACGACGAGAAGCCTGTGAATTTGATAGTGATCTTTGAGAACCCATCAATTACCCTGCGGTAGAGCTGTGGAATGGACTAATATTTGGAACCAAAAGGACAGACGAAACCCAACAATAAGATTAAGTAAGGAAAATTTAAGTAAATTCTGATTAATTTATATACGTTACTCTTTAAATTCTTCGTTAAAATCATAGTGTCCTTCTTATCCCAGAGGGTGATATCGCAAGTTCTGTACTTTATTTCAACATTGAGAGCAATAAAGTTTGAGTTTTTATGAATGCAAGTGGTTGAACGTTTAAAATTTAAATTATTAACTCGCTTTATTATAATCTTCAAATATACGCTTGAAAATTTAATAATTTATACAAATCTACGTGCATATACGACCTCAGAGAGCCGCAACTCAACTTTTACACCGATTATCCAGGGCAAAGTTTTAATGATGTAATATCAGTTACCTGTTACTAAGTGATGTAAATGAGTTTGTTGATGACTATGTTAGTAAGCACCGAAGTTTGAAAGTTTCTATGGTGCGATTATTCACACTCTATCTACCGCAGTGATTATTTTGTCATTTATCTCGAATAAAGCAAAATTTTACTAGAATATTAGTAAGTAGTAAAAAGATAATTTAAATCAGCCTTTCCCAAAGTGGGCGATAATGCCCTCTTGTGGGCGCTGCAGGCCTTAAGATTGCAATCACTGCAATATGTTATCAAAGCATTCAATAAAATCCATAACAGCTCTTTGAATGATAGGTTATTTCATTAGCTTTGTATTACTAATGACGAAGATTTCAGCCGTTTGTTGTTTCATACTGAAGTTCGTTGGCTATCAAGAGGCAATTGTCTCACTCGATTTAAAACAAATAAACTAACTTGTTGCTTGGTGATATAAATTGGCTTGTTGACGATGATCCACGTGACGGTTTCGAAGCACGCCGGTGCCGTCGTGGAGCCGTCATACGTCATGTAGTAGTCTGTGTCGGGGAGTAAGCCACGCACCGAGAGCTTATTGACCGGCATCTCGGCCCCTGTAAACAAACCTCTAGTTTGAGTCTACCGTCTATGGACAATATGACTTGGTTTTGTTGAAGTTCGTAACAGATAGTTATATTTTATTTGCCCGGAAATATTTACTGCAAGCAACCCGCCCGGCTTCGCACGGGTATGTCATGTATTGAGAATTTAATATGTACAAAAACATTACTTATGTGACTATGATTTTCAAAATTTCTGATGAAATTATCATAAAAAAAAAATATTTTACAGAAACCTTATTTTGACAATAATGACTAGGACAAAGAAAAAGAATCCTATATGGTGCAGTGTGTGGACATACATTTTGACAATTTATTTCTATCCATACTTATATAAGATTTAGTGTTGGGAAATTTAGGCATATTCTAGCAGTATTAATTTGCTACGCCCAACTGATACTCTGGTACTGCATAACAAGTAATAATAAGCATTCGCTAAAAATGCTCCCTTCTTACCTCCATACTTGATGTTCTCTAGTTCCTCCGTCAATATTCTCAACTCTGGATTCGATAAATCTCCAAGCTAAAACAAAAGTTTTAGTTAAATATGACTCGTAATATAAATTGGTTTATCATTTCCGTATATTAATAAAGAAACTGTTATACGTAAGTAGTTATAGCGATAAATCAAATCTACAAAGCTCTTAAGGCTATATTAATTCCCCAAGATAAATCCTTTCACATTCCGAGAGTCAGTGGTTGAACATTGTATAATTCACTTTTCATTTTACACTCAAAGCGACACCCACGAAATATAATGAAGGTGTCGTAAACACGTGCCTTTGAGAAAACATCCGAAGGCATATAGGCGAAGAACCTTCATTAGAGTAACTCGCATACGATCAAATAATTCCGCAGACTTTCCGCCCTTTACCTTGTTGTCTTCACATTTTAAATATACTTGTTTATATTTTTAGCTATCTTGCTACGAGCTGTAGAAACTGTTAACAAGTTTTTTTTTTTGCATGAATACAATTTTATTTAATATAAGGTATCTAAGAAGTTGTCTATTTAATAATTCCCGATTGCACCCTACCAACCAACAACTTATCCATTTTAAGATACGAGGATTATGTTTGTCACGAACTTAGATTAAACAACAGGGATAGCCCCTTCGAGGTGACAGTCACCATACGAAATACTAAAAAAGGTTATTTCTAATTTCAACATGGCGTTTCCTTTGACTGGAATGAAATTATCTTGCTACGAGATCAATTCCACACTAACACATTCCTATCTGAACTTAATTGGCACTTAACGGATGGGACGCGGCATCATTTACAATTAGTTTTCATACAAAGAATATTTCTCTGTACAAACCCGTAGTAAATATGTAATTAATAAGTGTATACAAAATAAATTAAGGTTATTTTTTTTAAATAAATTAAAAAACAATCAGAACAAAATTTAAGCCCATTAATGGCGCGACCTTGTAAATTAATATCTACATCAATATAAATTCCAGAGCCAGACGGGCGCAAAATTAATTGGCACTATCGAAATTGTTTTTGTCGACCCCAAAAGTGACTCGCGTTATAGTTTACGTTCGTTTAGTCAGTTCTTAATTTGAACTAATAGCTTTGGCGGCTAATCCAATGGAACGCAGAAAATTCCAATTTCCTTAATTAAGCGCGCTCAGTTCGGCGGAATAAGGCCGGGTGCGATGAAAAGGTGCGGCTCTTATAGCTTGCCTATAACATCAATTACGTGAAAGCGCAACACCAATTTCAAAAAATTGCAATTCACTCTAATCCACGCTTTCATGTACAAACAGCGAAGGGGCACTCAACCTACCGCTTCGGAGCTTAGCGTTAAAGAATGCATAGCCCTTAAAAAGTGATAATGGGTTAACTTACAAATCATTGTGACTTGGAGTGTTAGTTGGTCAATAGGACACAATTATGAGAAAGTGGGTTCCTAAATATTATTTTTTAAGTTTATAAATACGACTTGATACTTAAATAGCATACAACCTATAAATACTTTTTGTAGCCCAATGCAAGAGTATGTATATCGACCTATGCATAGAATAAAGTTACATATGAAAATGTTACCAAATTGCTTTTATTGTACTTTTAGGCGAAACGGACGCATATGTTTTACTGGTTAAAACATTTATTCTAAAACTTATATAACTTTGAAGATAGTAATTGAATAAAGGTACATGTGATTTTTGTTTCCGAAGAATATAGAGCCAAGAGCACAAGAACCTTTTGGATAGACAGCCTGCACGGCTTCAATTTTGTTATAAACTGAGAATTTTTACTAAATGTTTGATTCTATTTTTCTTGTTTGATCGATTTTGCCCAATCTTTGCCATATTATCATAATGTGACGCAACAGAAAATATAAATTACGTAAAACAAAGTTATATCTACACATAATTTGACACGTTTCCCAAGCATAAAGTCTGATATGCATATGTAACATAAAGATGTCCGTAGTAAATTGCCACATAATCACATAAGAATCTCTTAAATAACGTAATATAAGCCGTAAATGTATTTTTTTAAGCAATAAATGCGTCATAATTTGCTTCTTAAAGCTTTATATGATTAGTAAAAAAAATCAAATGATAGAAAAATACCAATACAAGTTACAGCATATTTTACATTTTACAAACTTAAAATCGCTCTACTGTAAAGTTGTGATTATGCAGAAGTAGCTTTATTCTATGGATAGGTCGATATATGTATATATAAATAAGATAGCTATAATATCCTGCTACTATGATATTCTATTTCCTAAATCATACGAGATATATCCAATATGAGGTTGGCAAAGCCTCAAAGGAACGGCACTGTGAGACAGATTAATAAACTTCATTGATGATGCATTTGGCATTCATGATTATCAGCCTATTAATGTTCCTACTATTGAAACACGGCCTTCTCCAGATGGAATAGGGAATATGGGCCATGACCCACTACGAGGGTGCAGTATGGATCGATTGGCACCCACCGACTGACTGCAATTGCAGCCGGAACCAACGCGAACGTCTTAACGTGACTTCCGAAGCAAGGGGCTCGAGAATGTATTTTTTTATTGACCACTGTGATTGTTGCTTGACCGTTGCAGTACCGAAGGCAAAAGGATGGGCCTCGTGACAGATTGCCAGCCCAATGCCTATTACAAAATTCCTAATGCACGTAAAATTCCAGCTAGGATTTTTTAGAATTTTCTTTCCATTTTCTAGAATTAAATGTAATATCACGCAATAAACCAACAAACAACAGTTTACCTGTAGTAGTAGAGAAATTGAAACAATCCCCTGCGCTTTGTGCAATGCTTCAGAGAAGTTCGAATAAAGTTGTGAATTAAAACCGAATATTTGTATCTGAAACAAAAACAACTAGCTTAAATCAAAACAGATACACACAATATCCATTAAGAGGGAAACATTATTTCGAAACCATGTACGAAGTAAATGTTTTTAATTAACATAAATTTGGTCTAATCATATTTAAAACCATATTATCGCGAACGGGATTATGGAAACTTTTACATTAAGTTGTGATGATTTATCATTAAAGAAATAAATAATTAATATATTAATACTTTATTATAAAAATATTATCATCATTTATCAAAAGCTTACATTATGAATGACCTAATGTGAAAACGTGTACCTACTTGATAGTACCTACTAAAGCAGATGGAATTAGAACGATTCTTTCAAATAACTTTAAATATGCGTGACAGAAATTGAATACAATAGCAGAGTTGCTAAATAAAGAATTGGATTCTGTAAATTGAAGTACAAAATTGCAGTTGTTTGATAAAACTTGTATAAGTCTTCGTATACCAATTATTCTGTGTAAACTGCCACCAATGGCATATTTTATCGTAATAAAAACATTGATGATGTTTGTACAGCTTATATTATACCTAAGTACCAAGAAATTTCAACGAAATTTTTTCAACCGCATTTCATCATGGTAAACCAATACACAAACACACACACACACAGATTTATAATAACAAAAGGCTCCCGAAGTTGATAATAAAGCTTAACAACGACGTTACAGCTAAAGAAAAAAATAAATCTGCGATATTGAGTACATCGTGGCTTCGTAAGAATTTGTCACATAAATAAACAGGAAGCGCGCTTGAGTTGTTCGGAGTCGTTGCCGGGATTACATCGGGGATTCTGGCGTCTTGGGGAGGCGCGTCGGGACTACGGGAGCGGTGCGTGAAAACATCTGTTACGCTCTCTTTACACACCTACCCAATCTTCGATAGCATTTTAATGCATCACACATAATCCGTCAACATTTCGATTCATTTGCACTTGCATGTTAGTCCATGCAAATGCAAAGAACACTACTTTGGTAGAGAGAGATATGTTCATGAGCATATTTAGGTAATATAGTGCCATTAATATAATGCTTTTGAATCATCAACCTGGGTCAGTTAACTGCTAGACCATACGCCACTGAGCTCAGTCTTCAGCTCACCTCATCCAGTCATTTCCCGCTGCCTTACGGATGTCATCACCCCACCGCACCACCTAGTCGCAGGACGCACTAAACGTTTTTTATCGATTCGCGATCTCCACTTCAGAACTCGTTTGCCCTAACATCCATCTGCTTTTTGACCAATTTATTACTAAACTGCTGTCTCTTGAGCTATCTTAACGCGTTCAATGTAAGTTCTCTAATAATGATATTATGTGTCCTATATTAAATGGAGCTAATGTGACTAATATATTAATCTAATTACTTGTATGTACGCATCTATATTGTGTTTATTTACAATAATCGTGATATTGTTCAGTTACATTGATCGTAGAGAAGTGAACCAATAATGGTCTTCCACTATTCATGAGCGCGTGCAATTAATTAGCGGAACACGTACGAAGACGTTTGTATACCACAATTGAACTGAATTGGCCGCTGGCTAGACTAAGGGTAAGTTCACACCGAGACGCAACACGACGCGACGACACTCAAAGAGGCCAATGATTAGAGATGGAAAAAACGGCTTATTTCTTAAAAGCGTTTAAACGTTGTACTTTTTAAAATAAGCGCGCTTGAACAAAAGCTTTTTCGTTTAAACGCTTGTTGACTTAAACGTTCAAAAGCATGCGTAAAAAGCACGACGTTGTGTTTTCGTTTATATCGTAAAAAAAAGCGTGAAATATTTATTGTCGTTTTTAATGTGTTTAAGTGTTGTATTACGTTTTTTGTTCTTATTAATGAAATTTTTATTAAAAAGTTTACAAACAAATATTTTATATGCACATTAAACCAATACACGAAACGCATTAACACAAGCAAGCATGCAAACATACCGTACAACAAACACGCGCGCTTACCCCGTCACAGTGACAAGCGTACTGCTTTTCGACTTCGTTTAATTAAACGCTTTTAACGAAAAAAGGGTTGGTTAACCGGCCAAATTTTAAAACAGTGCAATTTTTTTACGTCGCATTATAATAATTCGCATGCTGTATTAACCAGCTCACGAAAGATGGCACGCCGACGCGGCGCTGTAGTCGCGTGTTCTATGGCCGTGATGCTATGAAATATTTAGTTCCAAGGAATTCCGCGTACCCATTTTTCGATACTGTAGTGGACTAGAAGGATCGAAGTATGTAGTTTCCTGGCAAAGACATATATGGCGGGATTAGCACTTTTTAAATAAAAAATTTACTTGCACTTTTTTAAGTGAAAAGCTTACTCACACTTTTAAGTGAAAAGCTTATAACGCTTATACTTAAAAGCGTGCTTACAAGCTTAATATTTTAAGCGCGCTTAATTAAACGCTTATCGTTTAAACGCCCACCGCTACCAATGATTTCGAGCTGCACGGCGCGGCGCCGCGAGACGCATCTCGAGGCGCAGTGCTGCGTGCTGCAAAATATTCTGAATTCTCACAAGGAAATGTGTATCTTTTCATGTACTAAATAAAATATATTCTGAGTCGCTCTATCAATATGTGCGTGCATCGTCGCACCGCATCGCGTCTCGGTGTGAACTTACCCTTAAGCTAAAAGGGAGATGATAGCGAGAACATCTTTACCTGTCTATACGCTTAGATTTTAACTACGCAACGGAATTGCAATGAGATTTCAGCAATATACTATATTATATAGACTGATTAAAGGTATATAAATATTTATAGACATGCTCACGGGCATGTCTATAAATATGTCTACAAAAACTATAAGTAAGTAGTAAATATAATGTTAACTGGGGTCACTCGTTTTAATTAAATGAGTTTTATTGTTTTCTTTCCGCAGATCGATATACTCTAGATACTTGTGATACCTTGAATGAGTACCTGTCTCCCGTAAAGCTCCAACGACTTTCACACGCAATAATATTACATCATAATATTTTCGTTTATCAGTATTCTGTAAAACAGAGGATTAATTCAATTCGAGCTGGAAATTTCCCAATGAGTAATTTAGGGATAGATCGATTCAGAGTGATCTTGCGGTTGACCCGTTATTTGCTGTCATCGGATTCGTGGCCTTCCGGCAGCCACCACGAAGAGTTTAACTAATTTGATGACCAAAAGCTAATGCCCACACAATTACCTTGCTAGAGCTTATCTTAAAGTATCTGTTGAAACAATCACATTTAACTTGTAATTAAAAGATGTTTTATGAATTATTTTTAAAGTGAACACTTTTTAGCGGCGTAGTACACTTTTTTTGTAATGGGTAAAAACTATTAAACTTGCATCAGGACACGTGGAATTTTCGATTAGGTCACGTGTCCGACCTAATCGAAAATACGTAAGTCGAAAACAATAAAATTGGAAAGGTTGTTGACTTTCAATATATTGGACCAAACATACTAATATTTTATTTTATCGTATTATAATAATATGTCTCTAACTAGGACATCCAGGTGGCAGTTTTATTGCGGAGAAAATGCATTTTTTTTACAATAGTTGTCGCTAGGTGCGCTTAAATGTGATTCATGTACGTTGATTTTTTTACAATAGATGTTGCTATGTGCGCTTAAACGTGATTCATGTAAGTTGATTTTTCTGACGGTTTTTTTTATGTAATATAAATTGTCATGTTTGTGTACGATAGCGCAATTCTCAGCAGGTAAATATTGTATTCTATTTTCATTCATAAATGATAGTACTTTTATACTGATAATTAAAGCAATTCGTGCTAAATTATTCCCTAACCATTCCAAAATATCAAAAATGCACAAAGTTACTATTCAAGTTTTCACTTCTGCCGGCACTCCCGGAGTGCAACACTTCGTTTTTTTTTATATTAAAAGGCAGAGGTGGCAAACAAGTGTATGACCTGACTGATGGTAAGCGGCCACCAGAGCCGCCAAATACCAAAAATATCAGTCGCACCGTTGCCTACCCTGACCCAATCCCCTGCCCCGTGGAGCCCTGGAACTTTACTCACCTACAGAAATACAACACCGGTGGTGTTATTTTACTGTGATCTTCTGTAAGGTGTAGGTTACTTCCCCCAGATGGGCGCTCCAATTTAGTCGGGAAATCCGCTATGCTAGACAGGGCATATTATTACTGTTGATTCATTCTTTTAGAAAAAATAGATTAACATTTTCAACTAACTTGTAACTAAGGTAAAACGTGTTCAGCGTTTGAAATTATTAGAAGATTAACCGCCCTGTAACAATGTGAAATGGTAAATTTTCATTAGTGTAATTTATAGTACGGTATTTGTTCACTATTAACAAGTACGTCAGCAAGCAATTATCGTAACACGTCGGATATGTTTGCGCGACGCAGCTGAACTGTACTCTCTATACATACACAGTACACACCTACACTGCGCAGCTAACTAATTAGTCCTTGAGCTACAATAATGGTTATGTACGAGGTGTAAATTCTTCTTTGAAAATATTTACACGATTTCCTCAACTACTAACGTTAACAAACATATATAAATGAGAAGAAAGCCCGCGGTATAATGAAGTGGGGGCAAAACTATAACAATAGGGATGATGACTAATTTTTTTGTTCTTCGTTTATCAGGTAGATTATCGAAATGTATTGGACGCGTATTTTTTCTTTTTTCACATAATATAAACATTGCAGAGATATATTGATTTGAAAAGTCGCATGACGTCACGTTTGAATACACTTATAAGTGAAAATTCACTCAAAAGTGACGTCACGAGCCCCTACTCCCAAACTTTGATGCGCTATAACTTTGTCATTTTTTGGTTGATTGCCCAAAGAAAAAATACGTGTCCATTATTTTTTGATCATCTAACTGACGGTCTAAATAGATTTTCGTTTACTGTACCCCGTCATCACCCCTATTGAAGAGCTGGTGAACAAAATAGTATAATAACATAAAATTAAATTTTACAGGAGCTGTATAAAATTGAATGTGCATACCTACAGTGAGCTTTTAGCATGGTTTTTAATTTATAAATTTAATAATTTTAACACTGTTTTAGGTGGTTTTGATTGAAAATTGATTGAGATGCAAATTCAACGGGCCCGAAACCTACGGACGGTAAAAAAAAGGAGTGTGGCCAGATGCGTAATTTACTTTGTTCGCCAGCTCCTCAATTATAAAAAAAAATAAGTTTACCAAGTAGCGAAATCTTTAGACGAAAAATTACATACTTATGTGCTGAATATAAACCTACACTACGCACCTAGCTCTCCTTGTCCTTAAGCTACAGTAATAGTTCTATGGGCGGTGAAAATTATACTCTTCTTGGGAAACATTTCCACGATTTCTTTAACTACTAATGTTAACGAAAAATTTAAAAGTATAAAAGAAAGCGCGTAGTCTACGGGGGTGGGCCGAAAAGATAAAAGTTAGAATATCTAAATTTCCAAAGTATTGATAATAAAACTTTCAACAGTCTAGACGAAAATTATTATTTTTTCAGTGTACTAGTATGCGGAGTTTTTTTATTGGGCCGTATTGTATTTTTAAACAAAGTTAGGGCTCTCAAGGGCAATCTTCTTGTCACAATTTTTATGAACTCTGTATTCATGAAAAAAAAAGAATTTCACGTCTGACCTCTGATCTACAGAAATGTCGCTATAAAAGAAATAAAGATAAATAATTTGTAATTTTTCTTAGAAATTAATATAGCTGAACAAATCGAATTCTTAACACGCAGTACCGCCGATCGAGCTGACCTTGACATCAACTTGAATAAAGATAACCACTACAAGGTGATTTAACTAAAAAAACATTGTCTAACGTGTTCCAGAAACTTAAAACATTTACGGATAAATTATCTAGTTCAGTGATTACTTCAACTTCATAAGTATTTTGCTTTAATGCGCATGAAATTGCGGTATACAAGAAAACATAATAGTCCAAGAGCCCGAGGCCATTAGACCTTACTTATTTTCCGATGGACAAATATGTATAATCGAGCAGTATTAGTATGAACAATGTACGTATACATATTAAATTTTCAGCTTGATCCGGCTGTACGTAAATTTTTTTGTCACTTTACTTATTTTGAGGACATACGACTCTTACGTATGTTGTAGAGAATGTAGTAAATATTTTCAAATTAATACTGTCAGACACATTATATCAGCAGTATTTATTGCCAGACACTTTAAATGTCGAAAATAAAAAATACAAACACGGCCTTGGGCTCTTACTCTGTCCCCTTATATTTATTAATAAACGAAGAATAAACTTGGATTTGTTACTCCATGTTATGCCTCTTTTCATTGAATGACAAATGGGATTTGTGTGAAATGAACAAAACACGGCGTAACTAGTTTAAGTTTATTTCTTGTTTATTAATAAGGGGGTATAACTTTAAGGTAACTAATTGCATCAGATACTTATTACTAGGTGCAAACTTCTCCACGGTCCGTCAAAAGCGATTTTCATACTAATTTAGTTTTAAATGTTTCATAGTAACTGCGTCGTTAGTGTATAATAATTCAAAAATGAAGATAAATATTTGTGATAAGGAAACAAATCTAGACCTACCTATTACGGTACTTTAAAGAGGATTTGAAAAATAAAAGTTTATTTTTTAACAATTTCAATTTTTATCTTATTTAAGTGTATTCGCTACTATTCTAATGTTTATTTAAAAAAAAACTATTTTATCGCGAACTATTTTCGGAATATTACAGTAACTTTTCCATAATGTAAGTACTCGTGGGCCAAATGCACCTGTGACTTGCAGCAACATTCTTAATTCAAAAAGGCTTTATCCTGTTATTAAAACACATGTGGGCATGAATGATGCCTTGCTGCCTAAGAAACATTATAAGCGGAATTCGACACGGCTGTTGAGGCCGTGGTCGCATAATTGGTCAGTGCATCAGCCCGGATAGCGGAGGGTGCGGGTTAAAATCCTTTTGTGTTCGAAGGCGGGGAGAAAAAATGCATTATAATAGTAGGGGAGCCCAAGCGGGGATTTTTGGATTTACTCGAGTGCGGCAGAATAACATATGGGGAGCCCTACATAGATGGCTCAGGTATAGTGGGAGTACTTAACTACGTGCAAGGTTGCTCCCCATATGTTATTCTGCCGCGCTCGAATAAATCCAAAAATCCCCGCTTGGGCTCCCCTACTATAACCACGACAATGAGCAATGCCGCGTTGGTTTGCTGTCAACAAACCCTAGCGACGCAGGTAATTTCGTGGTGCATTTGGCAAGCGTCGAGGGCCGCTAATCGGTGCGGGTATACTTTGACGTGCACTCACGCAAGCATGGCATACGTCAAACCACCCCGTCTCCGACCAGCAGCCCGGTCTGCTGCCAGGCCGCCTGGTTTTTTTTAGTTAAAATTTTCTCAAATTCGGGTTTTTATAAATTTGTGTAAATGGGCCTTAGTGTTAAAAAACATATCTATTGCCAACTAATACTTACTTCAGCGGGAAAAGAATATCCGTTGATCGCGTGCTCCGATCCGAATTGATCGTGCAGACCGTAGTGTATGTGGATCTCGTGAAACTGATACTTGTAGGAGAGGGGCCCGCCAGTAATGTTGATGTGGTGTCTCGTCTCGTTCTCCACGGTAAATATCACCGAGTGGCCCGTGTTACTTATCAGTCCATTTATCTGGAAGACAACAATTAACGTCAGACAAGTAAGATCGATTGAATAGAATGGTGGAGGGATAAACTTCCCTACTTCTATATTATCAAGCTTGGACTAATGCAAGTTACCCATCTAGACGCATCGTTAACAGTGTGGTCATTCGTGTGGTCATGCATGCAAATATGTATTTTCGCTATGATTGGTCACTATACGTGTAGCTCGGTTCTTAGAACTAAGCTAGCTTCTTTATCGTTTGACCGTAGTTTTAGCGAATTAATAATAAGTAGCATTTGAAAAAGATTTATTTAACTTTCTTAAATATACTCTTATATTAGTCTGGCCACGAAAGATTCACATATAAAGGGCTAGCTGCTAACTTTCCCTTGTAGATAGAAAAGCCTATCAACGGATAAGGCAACTTCGTAAGACTGTTATTGTGAGTGATAGTCTGGATATTTACTATATTGGAGATTGCAATCTTATTTTTAGGCTATAACTAAAAGATATAATTAGTAACGGGATTGTTACCATGTAGCTTGTTTTTTATGAGGCTCCGATATTTCGACACTGTTGCAAGCGCCATGCTCACGGAGTAACAATACATAACTAAAAGATCTAATATTTCATGCTATACCGCACAGAATAAGTAATAGGGATACACAAGGATTATTAATACAATTGCAGTCGTCATCTGTGCATTATGTACCTACTTACTACATGTTTATTAATGTTAAAATGGTGGCTAACAATTATATAGCCCGCCTGGTGGTAGGTCCTCATAGCCTATAAACGCTTGCCATATCAAAGCTATCACTCTCTCTGCTGCTTACCTTGACCCCAAATCTAACTATGACTTAACGGCTACATTATGCGTACAAATATTAGCTTAATCAAAAGTTACTTATTCCTACTGGTTTGGTAAACGACGCGGCTACGCGCGCACATCTCTAGTACATAAGATGAACAAAATAATTATGTACAAGACTATCCGCTAGTACCCCGTGGGGTCCCGAAACCTTACCATCGACAGAAACACAACACAGATATTAAAGTACTCACTCTATGCTTATCTATGTGCAAAAAGCGTAGGTTGGGGTCGAACAGCAGCTTCTCCGGTTCCAGGTTGACGGGCGACTGCCGCCGGCCCTTGTTGCACAGCGACCATTCCGGGTTGATGAGCCCCCAAAAAGCTGGACCTGGCGCACAAAGATAAAACTGTTTCTTACATTCGCCGTCGAGCGATCGCACATTTGTCTGCAACATACGCGCCGCACGCACCGAACGCGCGAAATTTCAGAATTCATTGATTGCAATCATGTTAGGAGCTCGATGGTGCAAGTGGTTAGCGCGTTCGGTTGCGATCGTTGAAGTAAAACAAATTTCGCAGTGGTCGTTTATTTGAAAATTTAATATTGCGAGATCCTCCGTGCTTCGGAAGGCACGTTAAGCCGTTGTTCCCTACTGCATCAGTAGGCGTTAGTACTGTAACGTCCGTTGCATTACAGCCTCCTTGTTTGGGTAAACTCTTTGTTCATGTAATGCCTACGGCTGGCAGTTATATTAAAAAGGTAATGTCATAATTTTTAAAGATTTGAAATTGGGTATCTTCTGTCGTTTGATAGAAGGTTCCAGCAGATAGACTTCAGGCACAAAACCATACGTAGATAAATTTATCTATCGAATATAATTATTGAGCTTAATTAAGCTCAATTATTATATTCGCCTGATTTCTAATAAAATAAAAGAGTTAAACATATAAGTTGTTTTCCCTTTGATAAAACTACGCCCCCAGGATATATCCCTTCAGGGTAGATGGCCGCAGTACCCACCAATCCGCACTGGGTCAGTGTGGTGAGTCATGACCTAATCTCCTATTCCATTCATGGGGAAGGGTTGTGCCCCAGCAGTGGGGACATCAATGAGCTAATGATGAATCATTTGAAACCTAGCACCGTACGCGCAATGATAAATGCAATTGACTCGCCTGATGGCAAGCGGCCATCATAGCATATATACGCTTACGATAGCAAAAACATCATTCGCAACGTAACCCGCTCCTGCCTGACCCAATCCTCTACTCCGTGGACCTCACTCACCGTCAGAAATACTACCAGGAGGTATTATTTTACTGTGGTCATCTCTAAGGTGCAGCTTACTTCCACTGACGGGCGGTCCAATACGATCTTAAAATCGCGCTATCCCCTACCTCTTTTGTGTTTTTTACGTCGCCCTCTAAAAGGTTAAGTCATATTAATTTCTTATTCTACTATTATGATAAAAAAATAGCGCATCTACAAACTATTCGTCTGAGAAAGTAATTTGCAGTTTAAAAAGACAACAATGAAACACCACCAACACCTCAGTAATTTCTATCAAGCCAAAGTCGTGATAAACGAAACACAAAATGGAAGAGAGAGGTCATGTATCATCAGAGGACAAAAAAGTGATTTTACCAACCTGCTTATAGCAGCAAATAATTTGATATTTTATTTGAACTCAAAAGGGTGGCAAACAAGCACATCGCACAGTTAATTGAAAAGCGACCACAGTAGCATACAGATTTCCTATACCAAGAATATCCGTCGCGTGTTGACTATCCTCGACCCCGTTCCCCTACGCCATTGTGGCTTGGGCAACCCATTGCAGGAAAACGAGACTAATTACAAAATAAATAAGTTTCCTTGACAAAATTATAGGTAATAATATATTAGAAGATAATTATGCCCAAACATCATCGGCAGGTACAAATCCAGGTTAACAACAGTTACCTAAGCTTTTTGCGGGTCATCATCAGTCTATAATTTAATCGCCCCACTACTGAGGTCCTTACAGACCTATCTATGAAATTCAAGGGTGAACCGGTCATAACTCACAATACAAACCTAACGTAGATTAATGGGTGCAAAAAACTATAGACGCAGTCAATATAACAGATTGACATGCGTTTCTAAGCATACAGGAGCATGAGATAGTAAATTATTGTAACACATCCTAGGTTCAAACATTAGAAAAGTAACTTCCACGATCACAGACCAAACGTGTTAACCACGGCGCCATCGAGCTCCTTTTTGCGGGTTAATAAATTTATCGAATTAAAAATATCATACTTTAACAATAAATATAATGACATTTTTAATTCTATAAACGGAGACAAAACACTACGTAAGTAATCCATGCTTATTCTTCAGCTAAATACGTTGTTAAATGGTTTGTGCTCGCCTATTACTTTGAGGCGATACAATATCATTACAGTGCTGATAAGTGTGCAATACAGCAAAAAGTTTGATACAAATAATCTGCATGATTTGAGTCGAATCGGTGCCAATCCGTTTCTTATTCGATATATATGACGACCTCCGTGGCCGAGTGGTTTGTACTCTGGGTTTCATGGTGTCGCCGACTCGAGAGGTCCCGGGTTAGAATCCCGGTGGGGGCAGATGTTTGTGTGATGAATACAAGCATTTGTACTCCAGTCCAGTGGATATTTAATATGCATTTCTATATAAATATACTTATATATGTACAGTATATGTATTCTATCCGTTACCCTAGCATCCCATAACACAAGCCTTACAGTGCTTACTTTGGGGCTAGGCTAATTGGTGTGAGTGTTGGAAATATTTATTATTATTATATAATGTACGTACCCCAACGGTATTATGGGGTTTAGACTGATGCAAACATGCGTAGAACTCAAAACCAATGTCCCTGCTAGTTCCTATTCAATTCAAAGAGAAATCACTAATTTCATTAGTTTCGCTCGCGTTGATAAATTTATATGACTCACGTCCATCGAAGTTCATTCCTACTCGATGAATACTAAATCAAATATTTCACATTCCGCACGCGGCTGGCGACAATGTTTGTACTAACTTAAAATACCAAAAGCTTTACGATGTATCCAGAATATACAGCGGATTATGTATGTATTATGGACGCCACTGCACACGTTCATTATATCAGATGGAACAGAAATTCCTGTTAATTATCGCTGTGAAAATGGCCTTACTGCAGTGAAAATACTACCTGAACGTTTCACAAATAAATTGTCTATAGAAATTCCACCGCTCAAAGGCGTATAACGAGCAGCACGGACAAACTTCTCAATAACGTTAAATACCAGTGGCGTGTATACCTACAAATGCGTGTAAATATTACATCATATTGGATCATAAATGTACAATGGACAAAGAACAAAGCGTAGTAGAAAATCTGATGTTTGAAAATTAGATATAAAATATGTGTTGGTTGGTGGCAGAAGAATGAAAATTTGGTTAATTTTATTTAAAAAAAAATCAAATACTTCAAAAAAATGGTGGACCACCCTTACCCTTATCACTTAGGGGTATGAAAAGTTTACGTACTATTTTGAGACCTACTGAATACACACAAAGTTTCACAAGAATCGGTGAAGTCGTTTTGGAGGAGTTTTGTTACAAACACTGTGAGAATTTTAAATATGTATTCGACTACTAGGTATTATGTATTTATAGAGTGAAGGGGATTATAATATCATCTTAGTCTTTAGCTGCTTTGTTTGTTTCAAAGTGATGTTGGTTTATATTTGTTTTCATGATGTATTCATGAAGCATTATTTTGTAGTTCCATACTAATGTAAAGCTTCTAGCAAATAACTGAATCATAGATTAGGAGATAGCCACCGCAGCCATAACGCATCATACCACCGCCGGTTTAGCAGCCACGTTCGCTTTCCCGAGGTATTTCAATATAGGAGAGCGCGCGAAAGTAGCCAAAGTGCTTTGGATCGCGCTCACGGTTTTATTATTTATGACCTTGAAAATTGCATGAGGAAGCCGGCACAGCGGTTGTGGTTACGCCCACTTTATGGGCACGCGTTAAGCGAACTTTCCATTAATGCAAAGCACCTTTTTTGCTTTTGGCACTTGGATATTACGTGCGAGAAATTAGGCGAATTATCTCCGTATTAACTACAAGTTCTATGGGCTTCGCTCGGAAGAGCGGTTTTAAACTAATTTTTCTTTTAAATAAAATTAAGTGTTTATTCTGTTTAACCGACGCCAATAGAGTAAGTATTTTATCTTCAAATTCGTTTATGAAAAATAAGTTTCTGATGTAGTTACTTTTTTGCTTTAAGTTATTTCAATAAAAGGACCAAATGCTTGCTGTTGCCAGTTAATTACAATCATTATTTATATTGAAAAAATATAAAATTGTTGTGGATATTCTTAAATGTGTACTTAATATAAAGCTGTTACAATATAATTAACTTAAAAACAACATAATGATTGGCTTGTATTTTTAAAACCACAATCTCACAAAGAATGTTGTTACGTGAATAACAAGAACTCCAATGATCTAAATATTGCAAAAGGGAACAATGTTGCCGCACGCCACCATTCAAGTAAGTTTCGAGAGCAGAGTCAGGGAATAACAAATAAATTTTTAACGAACAAAGTTAGAAGCTGTGATTTGGCCTAACAATTACAAACAATACACGTTCTAATAGATTAGTCATGAAGACAAAACCATATTAACCGATTCTACTTTAAGAATGCTGAAATTTTATAACTTGTAACTTACTCTAAACGCATAGACACATAAAAATACTTTCAAAATCCCAGTGACATTATAAGGAAGTTGAATGATATGATAACACACCTTCCATTCGCCAGTAAGGTAATGGGAGCTCATGATAAATCGCCCGTATAAATTCCACGTCACGTAAAATTGGCAAAAATGTTATCAGCACAGAGGAGCCGATACGGCATCATTGGCACAAACGAATATTTTTCGACCCACAGTGGCATACATTGAAATTTTCGCACGTTTCACGTTCCTTTCATTTGAGCACTTTCCACAAATTTTATTATTTCAGATAGTAAAGTTTTAAATTATCATTATGTATGTAAGTAGTATACTATACACGTCTGCAGGTACATATAAAACCGTCTAATTTTTAATTTCTGTAATAAACAGAGAACCGTCAAAGAAAATGAATGATGTAATTTGATATGATTCTATAGTGATTTCAAATTATTTCAGCTGATTCCACTCACGCACTGTTAATAGACTGTTATTTGACGACCTCCGTGGCCGAGTGGTTTGTACGCCGGGTTTCATGGTGTCGCCGACTCGAGAGATCCCGGGTTCGAATCCCGGTGGGAGCAGATGTTTGTATGAACTCCAGTCATGGATGTTTAATATGCATTTTTTATATATGAACAGTATTTTATCCGTTGCCTAGGGTAACGGATAATAATAATATCCCATAACACAAGCCTTACAGTGCTTACTTTCGGGCTAGGCTAATTGGTATGAGTGTTGGAAATATTTATTTATTAATTTATATTAGTACTAGTGGCCCGCCCTCGCTTCGCTTCGGTGTAAAGCTGTAGTGTAGACTATAGTTTTTGTTCTCAGGCTCGTATTATACACAATGACATTCTTCTAATACCCAATTACAATAGGCACGCGCCGCCAAGCCCGGTAGCGTCGGAACCGCTATGTCCCTGAATTTTAAATTTGTAATATCTTCGAAAATATTCATTTAAATTATATGTGTTAAAGGGCCAAATTGTTCTATATTAAATGCACAATGTATTTAAGGCACTTAATTGGATAAGGATGAATGTTATATTGCTTAAAATCGCTTCGTAAATAATCTATTATTTCTCGTAAAAAGTATAGGATAAAAATTGGTTATTGTGGGTTATCCTTAAGAGATAGACATATACCATCGCGGACTTTTTTGTAGACCTTTTTAAGGTGTACAATACTGTACTACATTATTTTGATCTATCTCGTGGGGTTCAGCCAGCGTTTGCAATGTAAGCGCAAAAATGTGTTTATTTACGACCTTACATTAAAAACCTCTAAAACTATCAGTGTTTCTCTACTATATTATGCATGTATTATACATATAAACCGTCCTCTTGAATCACTCTATCTATTAAAAAAAACTGCATCAAAATCCGTTGCGTAGTTTCAAAGATTTAAGCATACAAAGGGACATAGGGACATAGGGACAGAGAAAGCGACTTCGTTTTATACTATGTAGTGATGTTGGCTGCTTCTGCTAACTGAAAGCTTGTGTGAGTCTATAATAATATCGTAATGTTGTGATTCAAGGTATATCCTCTATAAATGGAGAGTATTTTAAGGCGCTTCTTTCTCTCGTCTGCCTCCCTTCTTATAACCTCCTTTCTTTCGTTATTCAATAATATCTCTACATAGGCCTTAATTTTTTTCTTAAAATGGTAACAGTAATTTATGCATTAAATAATATCTTAGCCTATCTTATCTGTATTTACTGTAATATTCAGGACATGTTTACTTTTTTTTAGATTTCTTAATGTAGCAGTGTAGCAGTTAAATGCTTAAATAGTAGATTGTTGCATAGAGCGGAAAGTCAGTTATTAATAAAAGAGTATTATGATGTGTACCAATCATAGGTACCAAATTACCACGAGTGCATTAATTTCTCACTTTATTCAGGTGTTTAATCTACTTTTTTTTCAACTACCGACCACCGTAATAAAATATTTAGGTTCTTACCTACTAAAAATAAAAGCTGAAGTCAAGTTTATGAAAACAAAATTTAATATTCACCAACCATTTTGTATATCAAGGTAGACCATACCTGCATAAAAATCTCAACATCGCCGAGTAGAAAATAACAATAATATCTATTAGCGTAGAAACTTATTAAGTTGACCAGTGACCAGCCAGTATCTTTTTATTCTATCGTGGGAAACAATTTAACCTTAAAAAATGTCTAAATAAAAAAGAGTGCACAAATAAAAAGCTGTGCAACAATGAGATTTCATATAACATTTCAGCACTGTTTTGGTTCGAAGTAAAAAATACGTCATTTGTGATCGGTTTTGTAGTGATAAATGATAACATCACAAGTAGTTGTTTAAGCGTAATAAATTATTATACCCTACTGTAACGTTGTTTCGTTTCATAAATATTATAAATAAAATAATGACAAAATTTAGAGATCTTTAATTAACAATATAGGTGGTAATTCTAAATATTACTTAAAAATATTTCCGAGTAATGTAGGAATGCCTTCTGAATTCCACTTTTAAGCTGCACTGGGAATACCTTGAGCAGAGCATGACATTTTTAAACAAGATCTGGAAAATTACTCCACTCCATAGGTTATTAAATGTGATTACATTCCATTATCTCGACAGCTGATGCAGCAATATTAGGTTTTGGCGTCCTCCGTGGTGGAGTGATATTTGGTCTGGTTTTCAAGGTGTTGCCAACTCAGCACTGGGCCAATTCCGCACTGGGTTCAGTGAGGATTAGTAAGTAGGTTATTTTTTTTATGAAACAGGGAGATCGGGCCATGATTCGCCACGCGGGCTCAGTAGGCCATTGTTGCGAGTAATAGAATAAAATGCCGGTTCAACTGCCCTCACAAAGCTGGCCTCAAGGGTTTTTCTCTGATTTCCGGAACCTGGCTCACGAGAAAAAACACGACACCACCAAGAGGTAGTAACAGGCGCTCCAATTAAAGCGGAAAGTCGACCCTACCTACTCTTACAGCATCGATCATAATATTGGTGTATCCATTCAAATAAGGTGATTATCATTATAATAAAAATACTCCAAAATCCCATTTAATCCCAAACAATTTAACTTGAATCAAATTTATCTTACCTTACTCTAGCTGACGGCATACTTCGCACCGCTTATAATAATTTGGAAGTAATGATGGACCCGAGTCTAATGTACCGAAGGAAATAACATCAAATGTTTGACAGGAAAGTAGATATAATAGTTATATGGGAAAATTAAATTATTGTTTTTACTATCTTCCTCGCAATTTTTCTATATTTTCTCACCGTTTCAACCTTCCCTGGACAAACATTTAAAAACCAAAATCAGCTAAATTGGCTCAGCTGTTCTCGAGTTTTAGCGACACAAACGCACAGCAATTGAGTTTTATATTTAAAAAAGATTTACACCATCTTATAACCCTTAAATAAAGGGATAAAAGTTACTTTAACGTGTTATTGCTGTTGAGTTCTAGTACCTCCTAACCACGGCAATGCAATAAATACCTTTGACTTTGGCAGTATTGTATTACCGATAGCAAACCGACACGTTTTAATTTCATAACCCGACTAGCTAGCTAATATCAGAAGGTAGCAGTGCAGTGCACTCACCTGAAATCCCGTCGTAGGTCCACCATTCCTCCCAGCTGACGCCTCGCACGGCTGCAATCAAACCAAATCTAATTAAGTCTAAGCTATTCACATTATGAACATTCGCCCACGAGAAGCTATTAGAGAATTCAGAAACAAAACTGAAGGATTCAGTAAATTACGTTAGTAATGATCCAGATAGATTAAGAATGGTAAACATAACATGTCAGCTGAGTTTTCATAAGAAATAAATGATCGTGATTGCAAGACAACAAAGCACTCGGATAGACAAAACGTTTGCACACAAATAATTTGCCTCAAACGAAACTCTGATTCATTGGAGAAAATCTTTTTCAGCGACTCGGAATGCTAATTGTCATAGCATTTATTGTTCTCGGCTTCGGTTTTATCTTTCACAATTGTCGACTCGATAGAAACGAAATAAGTAACCAATGATTCGGAAGATCGTTATTCTTTTGAAACAAAACGCTTAGAAATGAGCCCTGAGCCCTGTCATTTCTCCGCCAATTTTGAATCAAGGCGATAGCAATAAAATGGTTTCGAATATACGCATTGTTTCAACATTTTCTTTTCATTGAAAGAAATTCTATACTATATAACTATAATGGAAGATATAAAATACTGTTCTAATCGTAAGCGCATTCGGTATATGCTTGCATAGTTTTTACAAAATTTTGGAAGTGAAAACTTCTTTAGCGGCGTTGTACCCTTTTTTTGTAATGGGTAAAAAATGTTAAACTCGAGTCAGGACACGCGGCATGATCGAAAATTCGTAAGACGAAAGCAATAAAATTGGATAGGTTGTTGACTTACTTTAGATTGGACGAAACATAGTAATATTTTATTTTATCGTATTATAATAATGAGTCTCTAACTAGGACGTCCAGGTGGCAGCTTTATTGCGAAGAAAATGCATTTTTTCACAATAGATGTCGCTAGATGCGCTTAAATGTGATTCATGTATTTTACAATAGATGTCGCTAGGTGCTCTTAAATGTGATTCATGTAAGTTGATTTTTCTGAGAGCTAAACTTTTTAATGTAATATAAATTGTCATGTTTGTGTACGATAGCGCAATAAATAAATATTGTATTCTACCACATAAATGATAAAACTTTTATGCTGATAATTAAAGCAATTCGTGCAAAATTATTCCCTAACCATTCCAAAATATCAAAAATGCACAACTTTAATATTCAAGTTTTCACTTCTGCTGGCACTCCCGGAGTGCAACCCGTTATTTATTTATAGTATCAAGTTCTACTCCATCCGTCAGACAATGATAAACTGTAATAGCGATTAAACAAGGTGACGCAAAAGCAATCACTCAATTTTGTTTTTGTTTTACTAAATGAAAAAGTTAAATGTAAAAAATCAAAAACCCGACTGCTTAATTATTTTTCAAATAAAAACTGAAAAGAAAAAAGCAACTGCAGTAGTCTAATAATTCTGTTCAGTAAGGAACACAGCTAATTTAACAGTCGGGATTACATATTCAAGAATGGATCAATTTTTATCGATAATGGGTCCCGACTTTTAAAGTAGTTTATTTCCTTACTTACCAGAATTATTACACTACTGGAATCGTTTTTTTCTTTGCAGTTTTTATTTGAACTAATAGTTAAACAGTCGAGTATTTTGATTTTTTAATTTAACTTTTTGATTTCGGACTTTTTTTTTCACTTCAGTAAGGCCTTAATTTTCGCAAAAATGTGTGAAGTTAAATCAAGTCGTTACGATTTATCGTTATATCTAATGCATGTATTTTTATAGTTCTAGTACTTATTCCAAAAGTAATTTTTTGCTTATGTTATTTTTAATAGCTTAAGAGTAAATATAAAATTCATTTACTTTTTTTCGTCGACTATCTAAAATTGGCCGTGGCTGCATTGACAACGTCCAGCTCTAAGATTGGGATAGAGGGGAGAGTAGTAGTATTTTCAATAAAAAGGAGTGCCAAAATTATTCACCAAATAGAACAAGTTAGGATGAACAGAATGTAGTATCTAGTAACAGAACTTTTATTTTTTATTTTTTTAAACAGATTGTCCGTTTACTATGATTAATTGCTAATAAGTTAAAAAAATAATAGTGAATGACATTCTTTTGGGCATGCTGGGGCCGATTTCGTCGATGTCCTTTGTTCAAATCTGCCTCCCCATTTGAATCGACATTTGGCAGTTTTGAACAATGGGTAAAAAAAAACAGAAAAAAGAGAGGATACAGTAATAATTTGTCTTTAAATTATAATGATATTTATTGTTATTAAAAGATAAATTAAACTTAAACGAAACTTCTAAAGTTATATCCTGCATTACAGTAACACAAATAATTAAAAGGTAAATTTAAACCCATTAGATATTCAAGAATACATAATATTTTTCAACAGTGGGTCCCGACTGTTAAAGTAGCTTTGTTCCTTATTAACAGAATTATAAACTACTGGACTTGTTTTTTTTCTTTTCAGTTTTTATTTGAAGAATAATTAAGCAGTCGGGTTTTTTGATTTTTTAAATTTACCTTTTTTATTTCACACTTTTTAGTATTTTAAGATGGTATATACCGTAATCTCGTTACTTCAGTAAGGGAATTAATATCGCGGGAATTATTAAGTACCTTGCGTCGGTCTAAAAGATTGATTTATTAAGACATATAAAGACTTTACCAGCGGGGTCAAGGCTACAGATGGGCCTCAATTTTCGCAAATTGTGTAAAGTTAAATCAAGTCGTTACATAAATATCTCTAATGTATGTAAATTTTATAGTAAACTAGCACTTACTCAAAAAGTCATCTTTTGTTTATGTTTTTTTTAATAGTTTAGCAGTAAATATAAAATTCATTTACTTTTATTCGTCGACTATTTAAAATTGGCAGTGGCTGCATTGTCATGTCAATGCCGGACGTTTAAGATTGTGATATACACAAATTCAGTGTCAGTCCCTAGTCTCATAATTTGATATACCTACATAATTCATAGAAACCCAATATGTAGATGCCAGAAGTTAACTTCAAATGATTTTAATCACCCTATATACAATACCAATCAATGACGTTTATGTCGCAGGTTGAAGAAAGCAGTAATTCCCGTCTATTGTTTTGGACAATGGTGGCAACTACCTTAGATCACTAAATTAAATAATTATGCAATCACCAAAGCAAAGTTTATAATATTTGATTAAACTAAAGGCGCATAATAACATTTTCATAACGTTAGGTAGAGCACCATAGCAATCTCATTTATTATCAATTTATAGTTCTCTTTGTAGTTTTCTTCTTAAAGCGTTCACATTTAACAGGTCAAAGACTTTGTGTTCGACCCTTTTTTATTGGTAGTGTAAAGCTCGAATGAAGAGTAGTGCAATCATGTCAATTATTTTCCAAATTTTTTTTTGTTATAAAAATACCGAATAACGTATAACTAAGTAACTTTTACAAATATAATCAAATAAACCTATTACTTACTTTATTTTTAAATCTTTTTCATCAATTAAATACTTATCTTATCTTAACTATCTATACTAATATTATAAAGAGGCAAGATTTGTATGTTTGTAACAAATAATCTGTCAAACTACTGAACCGGTTTCAAATATTAATTCATCATAAGGTAGCTACATTATTTATTATAACATTTTTCTTTATTTAAATACATTTTGTCCGATTGACATAGGCTATATTTTATCCCGATAAATAAATTTCGCCCGTACAATACCCGGGTGGATCACTAGTAAGTATAATATAATATTATAGATGCGAAAGTGAGTTTGTTTGTTGCGCTTCCGTGCCCTAATAGCTAAATCAAATATAATGAATTCCCATAAAGAAGTAGATGGGAACTTGGTTCTTAGCTACAACATTGCAATACTTATAGGCGTAGGGTGATGAAAGGGGTGATTTACCTATAAAAATCTACATTATTTACTTTGAATTCGTGAGCTGATTAACAAATACAGGGATTCCAATAAGTATGTACTTACTAGCGAAAAATGGGTTATTTGTCATTATATTAAGTAAACCTTTTTTGTAACATTAAGTAATATCGTTAAAAAAAAATTAAAAACAGTAAAATTCTGAGTTTTTCATTAAAATTCAATAATCATAAATACATATATTTACATCTTTGTCGTTCTCTTTTAAAGCGTTTACCAGTTACAGACCGCAGGTTTTCTAGTCTAACTTTTTTATTAGTAGTCTAAAGCTCGAATAAAGATTATTTCCATCTATAAATCAGGCTACTATCAGCCTAGTAGGTATTGCAAATGGTGCAACATACAGTATAAACAAAATAAGAATAAGGATGTATAATTTAGCGAATAACGAATCACTGTTTACCAAAAATGCTAAGTAACTTTTACAAATACAATCATATAAACCTATTACTTGACTTTAGCATGGCCATCCTGATAAAATTCAGCTAAGCAAAAGGTTTCTTAGTAAATAGGTGGAGTATATTAAATCTATTTGACCATGGGCATAGCCATCCTGATTTTTCTGTTTAGCAAAGAGTTTCTTTTATGCATATAGGTTCAATATCTTTTTATCGTGGAATTATCAAGGGGACGGGAACTTCGCGGGTAAAACCACGGGCCTCAACTAGTAATAACATATTAGAGCCGATTTGCTGAATATATTTTATAGATAATTGGTATCCTTATTTCTCGTCGTATTAGTAGTAATTTAAAGTAATGAGGTGCCCCTTGAATATGGATTGCTAAGCACTTCCTACCATATAAAATGTAAATTGCGGACAATTGTGAAAATAACTTTCTGCATCCACCGCCCGCTTACTAATACGATTGAACGGAGGCGCAAATCCCTCAGTCGCAAAATCGTCGGCAGTTACTCATGTCATAAGTTCAAGTAAAGTTCGTTCGCTTTCTATATAACCGACGCGCACCCATCGTCGCGTCCAGCGCTCTTCCGTGCGGCTCCATCGTCACCCTGGACTGCGGTACTAAGCTCCCGTGAACCCACCAGCGCTGTTTCGGGCGAAATCATCGTCATCCAAAGGTAAGAGAGTATTTTACTCGTTACTTATTTAATTCCCGTG